GAGAGAGAGATTCAGAGACAGAGACATAAATAGGGCTAGAGACAGAGGCAGGGAGAGAGAGATTCAGAGACAGAGACAGGGAGAGAGAGATTCAGAGACAGAGACAGGGAGAGAGAGATTCAGAGACAGAGACAGGGAGAGAGAGATTCAGAGACAGAGACAAAGAGACAAGCAACGAAAAAGAGAGAAAATCTAAAACACAATTACAACGAGAGATACAACAAAAGTGCAGCGTAACGAACAGCGAGTCAAGAAGAAAAAAAAACTTTAACGAATGAGGACGCAAAGAAACATATTGAAAAGTAATAAAAAACGGTAACGAATACATCACCGCCAGCTAAAAACCAGCCAGATGTCAGATATCAGAGGCTTAAAATTGGGAAAAAGACGAAATCACATTCCGAGAATTCTTCGACGCACGTATAATCACTAGCAGACGGAGGATGTCAGGTACAGCGACTTATTTCGTGGGTAACGCCTACGGTTGACCGCAATCTCCCTCGGCAACCGTTCCTTCTCCCTCCCTGCCTCTCCCCTCCCTTTCCGTCCTCCCTTACCCCTTTTGCCCCATTCTTTCACTCCCTTTCTTTTTTCTTTCTTTTTTGCTTCGCTTATTCTCATTTTGCAATTTCTTTCCTCTCACTCCTCACTCCTTGACCGCAATCTCCCTCGGCAACCGTTCCTTCCTCCTCCCTTACTCATTTCTTTTCTCCCATTCTCCATGTTGCCCCATTCTTGTACTCTTCCCTTTTTTCGCTTCTCTAATTCTCATTTTCCAATTTCTGTCTCTCTCTCCTCATTCTTTCCCCCTTACTCTCCCTTTTTTATCTATTCCTTCACTCTTTCTTTTTTCTTTTCCTTTACTCCCATTTTGCGCCCGATCGCCTTTCGAAACTTTCAGCGTTTTTATCTTCTTTCTTCATACTCTCACTCTACTCTCTCCTTTCCTCTTCCCATCTCTTCCCTCCCGTAGTCTTTCTATCCCTCCCTCTCCTTACGTATACTCCTTTATCCCTTCTCGCCCTCCTACATTCTCTACTTTATTTTAATTCTCCCTTACCATCTCTTCTCTCTAGTCCCCCTTCCCGTACTCCTTCTATCCCCTACCCATCCTCCTCCCCCCCCTACCCATCCTCCTCCATCCCCTACTACCCATCCTCCGGTCGCCCTCAGCACTCCCCTGCCGCCGTCCTCCACATTGCCGCGTGTTGCCACCCCCTCACCTCCCCCTTCCCCAACCTCCCTCCGCACACGCAGAAATGTCTTCCCCATCACCCACGCGCCCCCTTTGAGGTCCGCGGTCGCCCTGCGCGCCCTGCCTCCCCGCGACCGCAGGCAGAGGCGGTTTCGGCAGGTAGGTCATGCAGAGAGCTTCCTACCCGCGCGGGATCATAGCCAGCAAAGGCGTAACGGGACCCGGGCGCGCCAGACGGGGATCGCTCACTCGTTCGCTCCGGTTCGTCTTTGTCCGCGCGGGACGGGGATTTCCTCTCTATGGGCTTCCTTCGCGACGGGGGGCGGGCGCCGGGTCGCGCGTTGCCTGCGCCTGGGCCCGAGGGAGTGGGTTCGCTCGGGGAGGGTGGAGGAGGGCCTGCGGAAGCTGAAACAGGCGTTTAATCATGCCATATATATATATATATATATATATATATATATATTATATATATATATATATATATATATATATACACACACACACACACACACACACACACACACACACGTGTATATGTATATAATGTGTTTGTGTGTGCCTTTGCTGATGCGTGTGCAGTGTTTAACGAGGGTCCTTACATGCAGTCGAGTGCTTGTTTGGGTTTCAGTGTGTGATTCCAAGCGCGGGTCAGTTGGTGTCGGGGATCAGCCATCGTCCATGGGAGTAGAGCATGCGTGCATTCTTTTCCCCGCCGCCGCAAGAGAAAGCGAGTGCGTCCGCGCGCGCCCGCTGGCCCGACGGCCGGGCGGCGGTGGACATGATCGCCGCCCCTCGGCTCAGTCGTTCGTTGGAGCGCGTCCTGGCAGCAGCGCGAGCGAGGCGGCAGCTCCTCTTTCAGTGCTCGCGGCTCGTGCTTGGAAGCTCTGTTGTGTGCGCGTCGCGGAGGTGACCATGTAGATTGATTCTAGTACCTACAAGCTACTAAAACTTGGAGTCGAGAGGTAATGCTACAAGTCTGGAAAAAGTCAAAATGGCAATTACAATAAGTTTGATCAAAATGAGTGTTGCAGTCTATCTAGTGATGGTTGGTGCCGTCTCCGCGAACTTGGTGCCATACACGCTAGGTGGCACTACCATCATGGTGGACAGCAGTGTCCTGGGATACAACAGTCCTCTCTTGATGTACCTTCGGGAGGGTATGCCTCATCGTAGAAATTCTGACGAAGTCACTGACAACGCAGAGGCCGCAGACACTGAATGGAGCGAAACAAAAGCGGGCGCGGAAACCGAGGCCGTGTCTCCTTCCGAGCCGCCGACCGAAGACGCTGAGCCAGACACTCAGGCTTCAAATATTTTCACCAATCAATATGGATTCATCAAAGATGAAAATGGCAATCTGAACATCGACGTATATCCCACATCCCAGAGCTGGGACTGGGAAAACCAGGACGTTCTTCCCAGCGCCCACGGGTCCCTGTACTACGCCGTCCAGACCCCAGACGCCGCCCACGTCTCGCAGAAGATCCACAACATCGTGACGACCCTGAACCAGAATAACGCCGGCGTGAAGTTGAATGACCGAGCGCCCGTCGATGCCTTCCCCATCCTGCCCGCTCGCCCAGGAGACGTCCCTCCCGTCCTGAGCGAAAGCGGGTTTGCCGGCGTGTCTGTGATGCACAAAGTCCCACAGGACACTGAACCCTACGACGAGTCCACGACGAATACTGGGAATTTCAACCTGTACGTAGATGGTGATCCCATTGAGTCAGCGACCCCAGAAGGAGGCGTTTATCAATACGAAGATCAAATCATTTTCGAACCACCGGCCTTCCCGCCCCTCAATTCGTGGGCTAATGTCGACCACAGGGTCCCACAAGAGGACCCCTCCGTGCATGCAGCGACGGGTTTGCAACTAGGAAGTCCGCACGCGGCGCCCCTTGCACCCAGTGACCTACATCGCCCCGGCCATGACTCATCGGGCGCTCCAGAACAAATCGCTGAGCAATTTAGCGATTCGCTCTTCACTGCTGCTGACGAGGATCAGGCAGAGAATGTTAGAGATGAGTCTTCAGTTACAAGTGCAACACAAGCTGCTGATGTCGGTCTGGGTGTGACTCAACTCACCGAAGTCACGCAAGATGCGCCTACAATTGTCAGTCCTACTCACATCACTGATGCCAGAGAGGGCGTTTCTACTACCAGTGACGTCCCCAGTGTCTCTCAGGGCAGCGATATTATCACTGAAGCGGCTATTGAGTCCACCAGTGAAGTACAAGGCACTGTTCAGAGTGAAGTAAGTGGAATTTCAAGCCAACAAACGGAAGAGGACGCTCTGATTGAAGCCAGTGTAGCAAATCCAACACAGAGTTCAGCCCAGGGCCAAGAAGAAGCCACAGAAAATCCGCAAAACAGAGACGACGACTTCGGTGATAAAGTCTCCACGATCCCCGATGTCCTAGAAACGACAGAGACATCTTCTGAAGTGAACACGACATTCCTTGTGGATGAGTTCCTGCTTCAGAAGGAGGAAGAGTTCAAGCTCAAAGAAGAGAAGGAGAAGCAGGCTATGCTAGCCGAGCAGCAAGCTCATCTTGCTCTTGAATTAGCAATGGCAGACCTCTTCTCAGATTTCACCAAAGATGAAAAGACTAATCAGTCCGAGAGCGACACCGACGGAACCGGCGGCGACCTTAGCAAATCCGACGTTGACTCTGAAAAGGTAGAAAATCCATTATTCATTACTACCACAGAGACAACTTCCTCAGACCTGTTAGACGAGTCCGATCAAAGAGCAGATTCTCAGCTACAGGAAGCAAAGACAGACATTCCTGATATCTACCAAACAACAACAGAATCTAGACAGACAGACGACAATCAGGAAACACAGGTCGACGAGCAAATCGCCCAGGTAACAAGAGTAGATGAACAATCAACCAACGACCAGGAAACCAACGTAGATGACTGCGTTGATAGCACTGTCCATCAACCCACTTTGGAACGAGAGTCAGACATGGGTCAAGACGCGCAAGATGAGCAGCTTGGCACCACGCAAGGTGCCCTGGTGGAGGCGCTCTCGGATGACCTTCAGGAAAAGCAGGCGGACGACCAGCCTGTTACCACTCAAGGAACTGTAGATAGAGAGTCCGGGGATATTCAGGAAACGCAGTTAGAGGATCAGGCCGTCACCACTCAGGCACCGCAAGCAGAGGGACGGCCAGACGACATTCAGAAAGCACAGCTGGATGACAGCCAAATCACCCTGTTTGACGGCCGACCAGACACCAGTCAGCAGACCCGCGTGGATGGTCAGCTCAGCGCTTTCCCCGCGACCTTGGAAAAAGAAAAGCCGGACAGCACCGAAGGGACGCTAGAAATCAGGCCGCTGCCCAGCCCGGCCGCCAAGCCCGTGCCCGCCGAGCCCATCCCGTACGCGGACAACCCGTCTCTCCTGAGCGACTTCCCGCCGACGCGCGAGGAGCCGGCGTCCTCACAGGCCGACCTCCACTACTCCCCAGCCGCCGGCGTCGACCTCCGCCCCATCACCTTGGACCAGGCGAACGGCGTCTACGTGAACGGCGTGAAGGTGTACAACGAGAGACACAACCCGCCCGGGCCCGAGTCCAGCCTCATCAGCTGGTACGACCGCGACCCCATAACCATCTTCGACCCCCACCACCACTCGACGAAGGTCACGGGGGCCCCCGAGAAGTCTGGGCCGCCCAACCCGCAGGACAACGACATCCAGACCGGGGGAGGAGGCATCCCGGGCCACCAGCCGCCCAGGCTAGACGCCGACGACGATGACGATGGCTTTCGTAAGTCTTCAATGGGTCGCTAAGGGAGCTTCACAAACACTTATTTTCTTTTTTTCCATTTTTCTTTTTTCACTCATGTTCAAATGACTGCATACATCTCTTCATACATACCTGATTAGTGGTTCAGCACTAGAAAGGTAATCCACTCACACAAAAGAGAAAAGGGCAAACAACTAATCATACGTGCAAATAATTCCTACTCTTTCTGTGGATAATTTAACACAACTGTTTTCTCTGTATTTCACTCGTGTTTATCTGTCAACCTGTTTACCATTATATATTCATATTTTCATCATCAGTTGCACTTGCATTTACACCTTCTTGTCGAACTTCCCGGCAGACACTTTAAATTCAGTTAACCGTTAGATGACACAACAGTTTTATGAGGTTTTCTGCCTTCCGGTTAAATTTTCAACGTATAAGTAGGTTATACGAGATACTTGCTTGTTTTGCTTTCTCTGCTTGCTTGTTTATAACAGATGGGTCAGCCTAACGCCTTACCCATTTGTTTATCTAAATGGACGTCGCAAATTTACCTTTTGTATTCTTTCATTCATTTCATTCGAACATCTACGTTACTTAACCCAATCTACAAATCTAAATAAAGAAACACAGCCATCTGACGGGTGGTTCAACATTTTGACAAGCGTACAAAGAGCATCCTTATTGCTGACCCCCTCCCCCTCCCCCCGAAAAGTGGACACCGAAAAATGATGACACACGATCTGACATCGATATTTCCATAGACTTTTTAAAAAGTACGAGCGAGTTTAACCCCCTCCCCTCTAGCACGTGCTCCGTACGCTCTTGTGAATGTTTAAAACGTTGAACCACCAATAGGAAACAACGCACACATATCTACACCCACAAGACATACACAGAGGTAATGAACCCACAAGACATACACAGAGGTAATGAACCCACAAGACATACACAGAGGTAATGAACCCACAAGACATACACAGAGGTAATGAACCCACAAGACATACACAGAGGTAATGCACCCACATACTGCATAACTGGAACACGTCTCTATCATAAATGACCTCCACACTTTGACCTTAACCTTCGACCTTAATTCTTTGCAGTTCCCGACGAAGAGCTCAATAGCACGGTGTCTCTGAAGCTGAACGGAGCTGTATTCCACGCCGCCAATCCCAGCCTCATTCAGAAGAGCACATGCAGTGAGTATCGTGTCTGTTTGTATGTGAGGGAGGAAACGAAAGGGATGGGGAGGAGGGGGGAGAGAAGGAGACAGTAAAAGAAGGAGAGGGTGAGGGAAGAGAGAGGAGAGGGAGGGAGAGAGAGAGTAGAAGAAAAGGAAGAAAAATAAACAAATAAATAAAGAAGAGAACGAGAAAGAAACAAAATACATGTATTGCTATCGTATTATACCGTAATCCTTTTTCTCAAAATCTCAAACTTACCATTTCTTTTCCCTTAGGTTGTGGTTTGCGGTTCAATACAAAAATCGTCGGAGGGGATGTTACAGACATAGCGAAGTATCCCTGGCAGATTGGCTTGGCTCAGAAATACGACGGTTTCGTTTTCTGTGGCGGTTCCATCATCAACGATCGATATATTCTCACGGCCGCCCACTGCGTTGATGGGTATGTCAGTGTGTGATTGGGTGTGTTATGTGCCTCTGTCTGATTGTGCATGTTGACATGTGTTTTCTTTTTTGTCATTTTATCTTATATTGAGTGTACGTTTGTGTCTGTGACGTGATTTTTTTTCCCTTGCGTAAGTGTGTCCGTGTCTGTGTGTGTGTCTTGGGTGTTTCCTTGTGTGTATTATTATTATTATTTTATTATTATTATTATTATTATTATATTATTATTGTGACAGTTTTGTGTGTCTGATGTGGTGTGCGTGTCTCTTTGTCTGTTTTTTGTGATTCTGTGTCTGTGATGTGCTGTCTTTGTGTTCATGATTATTACTCACAAGTCACTGTTATCTTAATACTGAAAAATAATTCTGCTATAAGACAATCTTACTCCATAATTTCTAATCATTCACATCTTTACAGAAACTCTCCCGAAAACCTTGTCGTTCGCGTCGGTGAAACGTCAAGAACGGGTCCCGCAGAAACCATAGATGTCCTGGAAATCAAAGTTCATGAACAGTAAGCATCAACACTATGAAAACTATATGTGTTTATAATCACCTTTGCCTGGAACCTCGGCCATGCTAATTATAGAATAGAGGAATTAGTGATAAGCCTTGCAAAACATAGTTCATGAACAGTAAGGCATCATATGAAAGTATATGCATATGTTTATAATTCTAAGAACCTCGGCCATGCTAATTATAGAATAGAGAAATTAGTACTATATTTATAATCACCCTATCCTGGAACCTCGGCCATACTAATTACAAAATAGAGAAATTAGTAATAAGTCATGGAAGACAGTTCATGAACAGTAAGGCATCAGCACTGTATTTTTTTTTTTTTTTTTTTTTAATCAACTCTCCCTATCAAAGACTCGAACCTCCACCGTAGTAAACAGTACCAGATCTGACCACACGACCCACTAGAGGTTCGAATCCTTGTTAGAGAGGATAGCTACTCTTCTTCCGCCTTATTGGTCGTTGCATGAATGAAGATGGTAAAGCGAGGGTTTGGGTATACCGTCCACTAATGGGTATCCAACCGTATGTTTTTAGTGCATGTACTTTTTACTATTCTTTTCTTTTCTTTCTTTCGCCCATGATTTTCTTTTCTTTCCCTCTATCTTTGTTTTCGTTTTTTTCCGATTAAATTTTTCTTTCTTGGTTTGGCTCCTTTCTTAGATTTTTCACAACAGAAACTTCTTTTAGGTATGTCATCCAGCACGTATTGTACACGTTTTTTTTTTACGTTTATTTTTTCATTGGTTCCCCTTAGGTATGCTGTCCAGTAATGGTGATGTGGGGCATCGTTTCGCATGAAATTAAGATCACTAAAGTAAAGTGATAATGATAGGTCAATGCATAAAACTAGATAAAGTTCTCACGTCTTAGAAAATGAAGTAGATAAAAAGATACATTTACATGAACATAAAAGTAACAATGAATAGCGAGTATAATAACAAGAACTTAGTATTCTAAGAACAGTTTGACGACGATAATAATGACCGTAACTGCAATAATGATAATGATGATAATAGTAATGATAAATTGATAGTAATAGCAATTTTGATGAAAATGGTGTTGTCTGCTGCCATTGTTACCACTATTACTGGTTATGGTGACAGTAATGATAATGATGACGACGATAATGATAACAAATGCAATTGCTGTAGTAATAGTGTATCAGCAGTAGCAGCAGCAGCAGTAGTATTAGTAATAGTGATGATGATAATGATAGTGGTAACAATAATGATAATAATGATGATACTGTTACTTCTACTACCACTACTACTACTACTACTAATAATAATAATAAAGATAATGTTAATAGCGCCAACAGCATAGTGGAGGCTGTGTACACCAAGGGGTTAGACTGCAGCCACGCATCTGGGTTAGTTGTAACACCAGGCTACGAGGTCGACAATTTCTTTTATATCTAACATGCATGATTTTTGAAGTCTTTACTATTTTCTCTTTTTCTCTTTTTGTATTTCTTCCTTTTTATTACCTAAACTGTTGTGATACCTTTTTACCTTTTTATTGTAAATGTTCTTTTAAAACTACATTTTTATATTGTATATGGGTCTTTGCTGAAATAAGTATTACTAGTAGGATTATGATAATAATAACAATAATGATAGTAATAATAACAATGATGATGATGGTGATGATGATAATTATTATAATTATAATAACCCAAACCTCACCATGCTCTTCCATTCTCACATCCTCGTTTCTTCCCGTACTTCCAAAATCCATTTAGAAAACCCGACCCAATTTCAGATATACCTACCAATCGATCGTCGCCTACGACATTGCTCTGCTGAAGCTGGCTTGGCCTATTGAATTCTCCGAGTCGGTTTTGCCTGTTTGTCTTCCGGATTCCAAAAAGAAATACAGCAACAGGAATGGTGAATATCCTCTGTTGATTTTTTGATTGTGTGCTGTACTGGAATGCGTGCTTTTAAGTGGGTGGGTGTTTATGTGTCAGTGTTTGTTTGTGTGTGTTAGGGTGTGTGCATATACCAGTGTTTGTGTGTGTGTGTTAGTGTTTATGTGGGTGTGTTAGTGTTTGTGTGGGTGTGTTAGTGTTTGTGTGTGTGTTAATTTTGTATAAACATACAGTATGTGTATGCAATATATGAACGTACAGGTTCGTGTGTGTTTATATCTGCAAATGCAGCTATATTCGCGACAGTATACATCAGTCCTTGTACCATCTTGTACGAATAACAAACAGACTAAAATACTATGAATTTTAAGTTGAAATTCTGCCTCGGCCTTCCCCTACAGCCGTCGTCACCGGATGGGGTAGAGACGGCGCCGATGGGGACATACAGCAAGAGCTACATGAAGTGACAGTCACGGTCTACTCGACGAAGAAATGTAGAAAGAAGTCGGATTATCAGAAGGATGAAGTTCATAAGGATATTGTGTGTGCAGCGTCGAGAAATAAGGATGCTTGCCAGGTGAATCTCCGGTTTAGTCTCTCTCTCTCTCTCTCTCTCTCTCTCTCTCTCTCTCTCTCTCTCTCTCTCTATATATATATATATATATATATATATATATATTATATAATATATATATATATATATGTGTGTGTTGTGTGTATGTATGTATGTATGTATGTATATACAATGTATGTGTGTGTGTGTGTGTGTGTATTTACATACATACATACATATATATATATATATATATATATATATATATATATATGTGTGTGTGTGTGTGTGTGTGTGTGTGTGTGTGTGTGTGTGTGTGTGTGTGTGTGTGTTTTACATTATATATATATATATATATATATATATATATATATATATATATATATGCACACACCACACACACATATATAATATATATATTATATATATATATATTATATAATATATATATATATGTGTGTGTGTGTGTGTAT